TGTAGCCAAACAACTTCATCCATCCAGGGTCAGGATGGACCAGGCTTTGTGAGCTACCTGATCTAGTTGTAGATGACCTTCAAAGGTCCCTTCCAACTGAAAATATTCTCTGCTTCTCTAATTCTGTGATTCTTAAATAGTTCAGATATTCTAGCAAAGTAATCACTCCCCAAGAAATAAGGTTTTCTTATTTTACTCTCAAAAGTACATTTAACTGGAAAATTCCTTTCATTGCTTTTTGGTAATTTCTGTTTCAACAAGGAAAAACAACATAGAATCCTGGTTTAGCTCTACATTTTCATACCGTTTGAAATCAAACTGCAACTTTGCATTCCATTGTATAAGCATCACCAAATACTGTGTTTTCCTTGCAACTTGCATTTTTAAAGGGAATTAACTTGCAGGGCCGCAGCTTGAGAAACAGACTTGTAGCAAAATCATGATGGATTCTGTTTAATGAAGTTCAAGGAGCTCAGAATCACAGATCTAAATGGCACTGAATAAAAAGAGAAACATTAACAAGTGTTTCAATCAATTCAGTGTCTTACATGTATGCAAATGAAAGAAAGATAGAAGGGCAAACCTTCTTTCCCCGCCTCTTCTGGAACAGTACTGTATAGTAATACAGCTCTAGAGTGGCAGCCTTTTTAGCTGCTCACCCCTTTTTTGAAACCAATTTTGTTTCACCATTAGGAATATTAATTGAAGGAGATCAAAGAGGTCTTTAAAGGTCAACTAAATGGTGTTTTGCTTTGCTCGCCCTCTCGCATGGCCTTAGGCTTATGGGACTTGAGCAAGGACCACGTCACCCTGAGCTCCATAGCACTGATGCACCAGTCCTGCTTTATGCTACACCTTTCTGCATTCAAAAGTTGATGCTGATACTGCCACTTCAAAGGCTCCATTTCGCTTCAGGGGATTCTATCTTTAAAGCACTCAACATCAGTGGGAGGATTTTCACGTCATGTCACATCCTACTTTTGAAGTTTCTTGTTAATAGGGGTCGCCTTTGAAGACTTGCTGCTCCTGAGAAGTTCTTCTCCCAGTACTTCTTGTCGCTGGGACGTCTCTCACAAGATCTTTTTCATATCCCTCCAGAGGATTTTCTGCTTTAGGAACGTCCCTCAAGAGCTCTCTACTGCTTAGGTCTAGGACCTAGAGGAGTTCATATCCTTTAACGAGGCCCTGATTGTGGGCCAGATCATGCAACCTCTAACCAGCATTGAGCTCACTGTAACTAACTCACCTGATTAAGATGGGTGTGATCTGGACAAAGCTTTATTTTAAGAGCAGATTTCGTCCTTCTCTGATTACACAAGTCAAGATAAAATTCTTAACTATTGCAAAAAATGAGGATTCATTGCTTGCTACAGTTAGCATTTTAATTAGAGATGGTCAATTCTGTTTCTGTGAAATTAGAACCTGTGTTTAAATCCTGAACCTTTTTGGAAGAAAATCACTTTTTGGTTTCTTTCCTCTCAATATTGCACTTTCTTTCCTAGACTGGAAAATACCTTACCAGGCCTTACTGGAAAAATAAATAAATAAATAGATAGATAAGTAAATAAACATTTGAAAGCCTCTTCTGATGAGATTTGCAAACTCAGCTGGTCCACATAAGAAGCCAAACTACACAGCACTTGTATGAACTAAGTTTCTCAGCTGTTTAGTTTATCCATGTGACCTAGTCGATATGAACACTGTCAGATGAATCATTTCAGGATGTTGGTGTGTGATTTTAGAGTCTATTCTAGTTCCTAGATATATTTTAGTTTACTGGATAAACTTCAAGCAAGTCTTTTTTAAAAAAATGAAATCAAATTTTTTTTTCCTGAAAGTTTGGGATACACAAGCAAAAGGCAAACAAGGATTTTATAATATTTTAATATGTATGTGTATTGCATAAGTTGATAACAATAGCAGTATTCTTCTAATTGCTTTTGACTTAGGAATGTGTTTTTAGCATTCTTTATAGTCAGATGTCTTTCTCGTTGCATGTATCTTTGTTTCCTTAATGGAGGACCTTAATAAAGTACCTTGACTAAGATCTGAATCAATTTCATGAGTGCAAAGGATCTAGAAAGAGAACTTAGAGAAGCAGGGAAGAAAGGCAGAGTTGGCTGAAATGTGTTTTGAAGTACCCAAGAGGAGAAAGAGAATGAGGGCAAAGCAGTAACTCGAATTACTGAAAGTAAAGGTGTGTGGTATTGCTTCAGATAAAGGGCTTAGAGGTAGTAACTGAGAAAAACTTTTTGGCAAGGGAGAAACAAACATATCCCCCCGAACTGGAAACAAACAAACAAAAGCCACCAAAAAGAGCAGAATAAAACCAAACCAAGAAAGACAACAGGCAAGTAGAAAAGCTTAAAAAAATGGAGCCAAGAAGGCTGAGACAAACAAACAGTGGACTTCTGAAGGAGGCTGAAAATTTGATGTGAAATTTCTTTTTAAAAATAAAATCACTCTAAAATCCTGCATTGTTGGCATGTCATGAAGTGAATTATGTGTAATAATTGATAATATGAAATTAACAGTATACTCTTTTACACAGATTTTCATACATTCAAGTTTTTGATAGAGCAATCATGCTGTCACTACTACCTGTAATGGCATGTCAAGAAAGTCTTTATTTTATAATTTTTACTTAAGGTAAAAAAGATCTGTAGAGAGCTCTTCAAGGTTTAATGGTGATTTTTTGAAAAGTAATAGGATGGTTTGAACAAGAAATAGTGAGATGTTTCACCCAGTAGTACAGTGGTACCAGCTGGATCACTCTGTAAAAAGTGCTCCTGGCAAAGAAGGATACTAAGAATCAAAACTCAATTAATTTATTTAAAAATTGAATAAAAGCAATATAAGACAGTTTGAATACCATTTTATATTGTGTTTTGAAACAGGTGCTTGTTTAAATAAAGTACTTGTTTTCATAAAACTTCCTTTTTTTTTTTTCTGGAGAATCATTTCATTAAAAGATTCCAGCAATGTGCAGTCATGGCCGTTTCCCAAGGCTAAAAAAAGCCTTTAGTTTATTCATAATATGATTGCTAATCTGACCAGCGCTCATGCTGTCTCATCCTCTGACAGTCAAGTTTATGATGAAGTATGATTCTCCATTTTAATCGGGTTTGTTTAATATCGCTCACTTAAATTCTCAAATGCAATCTTCCAGCTCTGCCTTCAAAGACACTGTTTTCATCAGTAATGTCAACTGTTAACTAAAAATCAATAAAATTCTTTGCTTGTCGCACTCTTTCTGAAATCAAGACTCTTTAAATCACAAATTACTCACATACGCATTGTATGCAATAAATGAAGTTTTCCTCTTATAATGAGAGATTATCGTGATAAATATCAAACATGACTTTGAATGAAATGCAGAGCCATATGAGGCACGCTTAGCAGGCAATACCATCTTGAGTAATGTCAGAATCATTTCAGGATCTAGGAAAGAGAAGATAATTTGGAGCAGAAATAGCTATTTAAAAATAAAATTCACCAAACCATAAACAAACAAACAAAAAATAAATAAAGCTGCATCCAAGAACGGTTCCTCACAATGTTATCTAAAGTAATAAAATTCACTTGCTTTAAGCATCTATTAACCATAGTACAAAATATGGCCCAATTTACATAACTATTTAGCAGAATGTAAAATTTGGGTGATGTAAAGTGATTGCTAATTAGGCAGCTCATCTCAGTGGCAGTAAGCTTTACTGTTCTCCCTGATTTATTTTTTTTTTGCAAGTAATCAGTATTTCCATACAAGATTTGGGATGGCAGGAACTAGCTGGCACTTCACAGAATCACAGAATGACAGAATGACAGCATGACAGAATCACAGAATGGCCTGGGTTGGAAGGGACCTCAAGGATCATGAATCTCCAACCCCCCTGCCACATGCAGGGCCACCAACCACCACATTCAATACTAGACCAGGCTGCCCAGGGCCCCATCCAACCTGGCCTCGAACACCTCCAGGGACGGGGCATCCACAACCTCTCTGGGCAGCCTGTTCCAGCACCTCACCACTCTCTCTGTAAAGAACTTCCCCCTGACATCCAACCTAAATCTCCCCTCCCTCAATTTAAAACCATTTCCCCTTGTCCTTCTACCCTTTCAAAGAATTGATTCCCCTCCTGTTTGTAGGCTCCCTTTAGGTACTGAAAGGCAGCAATCTGGTCACCCTGCAGCCTTCTTTTCTCCAGGCTGAACAAGCCCAGCTTCCTCAGTCTGTCTTCATAGGGGAGGTGCTCCAGTCCCCTGATCATCTTTGTGGCTTTCCTCTGGACTCTATCCAACAGCTCCCTGTATTTCTTGTACTGGGGGCTCCAGACCTGGACTCAGTACTCCAGATGGGGCCTCACAAGAGCAGAGTAGAGGGGGACAGTCACCTACCTGTCCATGCTGGCCACTCCTCTTTTGATGGAGCCCAGGACACCATTTGCCTTCTGAGCCACAAGGGCACACTGCTGGCTCATATTAAGCTTTTCATCCATCAGGACCCCAAGTCCTTCTCCGCAGGGCTGCTCTCAAGGACTGCTCCTTGCAGTCTGTATGGATGCCTGGGATTCCTCTGGCCCAAGTGCAAAACTCTGCACTCTGCCGTGCTGAACCTCATCAGGTTCACCTGGGCCCACCTTTCTAGCCTGTCGAGGTCCCTCTGAATGGCATCCCTTCTTTCTACCACTTCTCCCCTTGTTTCTCATCTCTGTCAGGCCGTTATTAATATGAATCGTAGAGGGCATGGTTCATGTGTGCCAGCTCCTACAGATGAGGCTGAGAAGATCTTAGGAGTTACAGGTTGCATTTTTTTGAAGTGGTATGCTCCCATGAAGATTTATGAATGTGCTACTAGCGGAAAACTTACCCATCTCCTCAGTGCCCAAGGAGGTGTGTGAATTTCTAAGATATTGACTAGACTTGGACATAATAGTGACAGTGGATAATAATTTGGATAGTGACAGGAGAAGAGGAAATGGTTTTAAACCAAGACATAGGAGGTTTAGGTTAGATATTAGGAGGAAGTTTTTCACACAGAGGGTGGTGAGGCACTGGAACAGGCTGCCCAAGGAGGCTGTGGATGCCCCATCCCTGGAGGCATTCAAGGCCAGGCTGGATGTGGCTCTGGGCAGCCTGGTCTGCTGGTTGGCGACCCTGCACATAGCAGGGGGGGTAAAACTAGATGATCATTGTGGTCCTTTTCAATCCAGGCCATTCTGTGACTATGATTCTATGATTCTATGATAAGACTGGAACACAGTGTTGTTTGCTCTCTTGCAGCTTCCTTAGGTTGTATTTACCTTCGCTTCATTCAAACAGTGTTATAAAACATCCCACAGCATTAACACTGCTGTGATGTGTTACAGCCACTTGGCACCTCCTGGTTTTGGTGGAGAAAACATCCTAATCCTTGCATTTCATAAGGACCAACCACACTATGGCACAGTCTGGTACTACTGGGAATTCTCTGCACAGGTAAATTGGTAAAAAAAAAAAAAGCTATTTTGCACAGATATTATTTTTTTGTTATTTTTGTTACCTTTCTTCCCCCCCTTGATTTGGGCTTTGCATCTCCAAAAACGTTTTAGGTCACATGCTAACGTTTTCATTTTAATTTCTTTGAAGATAACACAATTAGTGTATCGAGCTACCTAAGGGGTGATTAGGAGCAAATAATGGCTCTCAGTTATTGTTTCTCACTCAGGCAAACAATGCTGCATTGTTTACAGTTCATTGTTGTTTTGAAGGTTATCTCAGTGATCACAAAGGCAAAAGATTGTTCTCTTTTGTTTTGAAGTGAAAAGCTGAGATTTTGGACTACAGACAAAATGGCAGAAAACCATTACTTTTTAGCAGAAAATGTAACACACTGCCAAATTGCTTTAGGTTTACACAAATCACTTGCTGTCTAGCACCACAAGAATAAATGACAGTGCAGGGACTGGATCTTAAATTTTTCATGCCAATTTCTGGCTAACTTTTTTAGACTGATTTCTTAAATTATCCTTAGCTTTGGCTATAGTTTTACAGTCATCACTTGGAAACTACTGTAAAGACAGTAAACACACATTACAAATTCTTCAAAGAGAAAGAACGTTAATATTTATCTTAAAAAGTAATCATTGGGAAGTTTTTATATTAGAGGAAAAAAAATGAAACAATTTCTCTTCACTAATAGCAGAGTAATATTACTGTTTTAGAGAAGGAATATTGCAAACACCATAAATCAGTTTATCTTAAATCTCTGCATTCTGTATATGATCCAGTCTCTAATATGTGGAGATGAGTTTTGCTTTAAAAGACACTGTCCAACCAAAAGTTGCTCTCTGTCAAGATCAGTAGGAGATCTTTGAATTACTGATAATTTAGAACTTAACGTTGATTATAAGTGTGTTAGAACTGAAGTTCTGTCCCCAGTGTTTGAGTCAAGCCCAGAGTATATTCCATTCTTGGGCAAGTGTACTGACACGAGCAAAATGTCATCAATCAACTATTTACTTAAGGTAAAGTCTTTTGCATAGTCTTTTTGTTATACCCATTCAAAGAAATGTCATGAAGAGTATAAAGCATGGATTCTTGTGCTTAAGAGTGGAGAATAATCTTAAGGACCCCCTAAATCAAAATTCTGTAGAGATATGTGATGCATTTTCATCACATCGTTTCTGAATCACAGACTCTCATGATGGCTGAGGTTGACAGGGACGTCTGAATCCATCTGGTCCCTCCCTGCTCCATCCAGTAGTGACACCCAGAGCAAAGTGCCCAGGCCCATATCCATGCACCATTTTGAGATCCCCCAAGAGAACTTCACAACATCTCTGGACAACCTGTGCCAATGCTCAGTCAGATATTCACTTACATTTCAGTTGCTTTTGTTCTTTCAGCAGTGTGACAGCTGCTTCCAAACACTTCGGGGGTAAACAATGATGCAGATGTGAATGGTATACAGAGACATATTCTCATCATGGTGCACCAAGCAACTGATAAGGGAAATGCGAAGGAAAGCTTACAAAAATGAATGCAGATGTTTGTTCACAGTGGGAACAGGTCTGATTTCTGCCAGAATTCTCTTCGCTGCTTTTTTGTTACCCACACCTGTCTTATTCTCTTCACAAGGCAAAGAAAACAAAACCTATGTCCTGATGAAAATTATAGCCTCACAACAGCAAGATAATAAAAGTATAAAAAGATGGGATAAATAGAGCATGCCAGGTCACTGAGGTGACACAAAGTTAGTGCCATGATTACGGTATTGTGAATTGTTTATCTTTAGTCACACTGTGATTCAGTGAAAGGTCTCTAAATAAACAGTAGGACAAAATTGTTTTTGCCCTGTCCCCTTCATTTCCTTTCTTGCTGTTGTGAGAATAAACCATGTGATCTAAGTGTATTTCTGATAACTATAATTAACATCTCAAGCTTTTCTGTAAAAAGAATAAACAGAATTAAACAATATATTTTTGAAAGGGAAGTGTCATGCAGCCAACAAAAAAATCCTTGCAGCTGATTGTAATGAAAGTTACTGTCCCGCTATCATGCAGCACTTAAGGGATCTTCCTTAGGGATGAATGATAAAAATCCCTGCCCAAAGATCACAGTGTAGATATGTATTAACTGGTAAGATGTAAGCAGGATGAGCACTGAGTGCCTGCAGCAAGACAGTGCATGATGGATATTGATGAACAAAGAGAGAAACCATCACAGATCTGCTCATGAATGTGGACACGGTGAGGAAGTTTCACTGTCTCAAAGAGCTGAGATGCCCCTTTTAAAAGCTAGGAGCATCTCACATGGTGCCTTCCAGGTGACACTAATAATGTTTGTTTTGTTATGTGGTGCACCTGTGGCATTGCAGGCAGTGTCTGCTTGTTGCTGCAGTGTGGAGCTTCAGGTTGTGTGCTTGGTTCTGTAATTATTCCTTCACACTCCATTTCTGGTTAATAAATAAAGCACAGGGATGTTTTTGTGGTGTGTTGAGTAGATGTGTGCCTCCTTGCAGTAGCCATGGAAGCAGTTGGGAAGCATACCTCTCTGCTGGTGTATGAGTAAATGATGAAGCTGTTATAACAGTGCCTATCAGAAAGGAGAGAATAAACTGTATCTGAGGGCCATGTAAGGAAGAGTTTACACACATCATTCTCATCTGATGTGTCTTTGTGGCTTCCCATAGTCACCAGCTTGGACTGCCACACCAGTATCATTCGTATTTCCCACCATTTCCTTTCTGCCGTTTCTCTTTCACTCCATCTCTCCATCTACTTATGATTTCCAAGCAGTTTTCACGAGGACACTTTTTGATACCCCAGATCATCTCCACTGTCCTTCTTCTCATTGTTGAAGGCCACATGCTGTATCCAGACGTGTAACACCAGGCTGTTGTTCAAGGAGCCAGTGCTTCCCTGTGCCTTTCTGCACGTTTCCTGTCTCTTCCTGCCTCTGACTGCTGCAGGGCATAATGAATTGATGGTTTAAAAAATCCTGTCCTCAGTGACTTTAAGACCTCTTTCCTGCATATATAAAACAAAGGAGGTTTTAACAATGGAGAAACTAATGCTGCAATAATTTATTAAAAGCAGTACAACACTGAGTCACCAGTAAAAGCATGCAAATAAGCTGAACGCTTGCTTCCTCAGAATCTGCACCCCAGAGCTTTTTTGCCATTTCCCCACAGAACATCTGAGCACATGCTTGTTTCTGGGAGGGCTTTTTCCCCCTTAGCTTTCTTTGCCCCTGGTGAGCAGCTTGCTCCTGCTGGCTGAAGGAGCTCCTGGGTGACTCATGTCTCTTTTGTTCATGCTGATGCGTTTGCTCCTCTGCTGGTCATGTCCTATAGCTGTCACCCAGCCTCCTGCTGAAATATCTCTCTGTAGGTAAATGAGGGTGGCAAAGGCAAGGCGAGGGAGAAACACTTTAGTGGGAGAAATGCTGTAGTGGTTGACTCAACTTTCTTGCTTCCCCCACACAATTTGAAAGGCAAAATCTGCCACCCAGCTGTCTTTGCCATGTCACGCTACATCTGATACTCCCAGCTCCAAGATCTCACACAGTGAACAGCAACTCTCACATCTACTGATGAGTGTCACATCCTCTGCATTACCTCTCCCAGAGGCACCAGTATCTGGTGTCTTAAATCTCCTAGGCTGCTTGCAGCACCAGTGTCTCTTGCAGAGCTTGCCTGGCATCCCAGCCACGTGTCTACTAATGTTTGCTTCACTCTCATCCAAGTATGGAGATTAAAGGCACCTCAGAATAAGCTCCTCCTTAGATACTTCTTTCTTTTTGCCCCAGTATGCTGTATCCTATGGTAAGTGAAATAGCCTAGTGGGTCAAACCCTAATTTGTACTGAGCTTTCTGTGGGCCTGAGCTGCTGTAGGCCAGCATGCTCTGATCTTTCAGCTCCAATTCCACAGATCAGGGATCTGGCTATTCAAATCAGGATATAGGAAACCAGGGGTAAGGAAGGACAGGTTCATATGCAACTCTTGCCCTAATCTGCAGCTGAGGTGTGAGCGGTGTGTGGATCTTGGTTAAAAAGTCTCCCCAGGTTGCTATCAGCCTCTGATTTATTGACTGCTAATCATATGACACGGCTTGATTTCGCTATCCGTAATATCAAAGTTTAAATGGCTTCCAAACCAAAGCAGTCCTGCGTGAGCTTACAGTAACATCCATGCAAATGAACTGACTTGTTCTCACCTTTCCTCTGCTTCCCCAGGTAGTAGAAGAGCTCTTTCTCCCATGAGCTTTGGAATGGCAATGCCAATGAACCTTATGAGTTGTACTCTGCCATAATTAATAGCAGTATTCCAGCTTATACACGTTCTACATCTGCCTTACAGTTCTTCACAGATGAGCGAGGAAACACCTAAGCTGCTTCTTAACAAATATCTTTGTTTCTAGTGCAACTATAGGCAGAGGCATCATTAGTAGAATTCAGTAATCATGTTACACAGCTGTGTTATTAGATAATGCTTTAAAGTAGACTCAAGATGGGTAACCCCATAGGCACACAGCCCAAGCAGGCTTGGCTCACACAGTGTTGTCCTGTGATAGGCATAGGGAATCCCCATGCAAAAGTCCTTGTAATTTGAGGCCATCTGAGCAATTCTTACAGGATGGGGGAGAGATGCATCCCCCTCTTCAACAATATGGCTGCACAGGAAAGGTGTGCGT